CGAGTGCATTGAAACAGAAAAGGGGGCAGAGTCTTCACCTGACCTCGCACTCAGGGCTTCAGCTGCAAAGCCTGCCCCGATCTTCCAGGCAGGAGGGGTTCGGAGTGCAACCGGAGCACGGGGCCATCCTCGGCTGTCTCTACAGACCCGCTGGGGCTCGAGGGGAGCTGAGTCACTCACGACAGCCCTACCGTGACTGTGGGTGGGAGCTCCAGCAAGCACCCTGCAATAACACTGTGAGTATGTGCACATCTGTGTGTGGGGTGTGTCTATCTGCAAATCTGTGTGGCAGCCAGGCCTATATAAAGTGAAGGAGGTCCAGTCCTCTGGGTCCAATAGTAGCTGGAGAAGATCAGTCCTCTGTGTCCAGCTTTAGTTGAGGAGGGTCAGTGCTGTGTGTCCAGCAGTAGTTAGGAGAGTCAGTCCTCTGTGTTCAGCAGTAGTTACGAGGGTCAATGCTCTGTGTTCAGCAGTAGTTGAGGAGGGTCAGTGTTTTGTATCCAGCAGTGGTTAGCAGGGTCAGTCCTCTCTGTCCAGCAATAGCTGGGGAAGGTCAGTCATCTGTTCCAGTATCCAGCAGTGTGGAAGAGGGACAGTCCTGTGTCCTCTAAGACAATCAGAGAATGAAGATGCATTTCCTACAGCTGCTGTTGTGTATTCTGATCCTGGACACTAAAGGTAAGTGATGAAATGGAGCACTCCCTGTGTTACTGTACACTGACTGAGTGTCCAGTCAGTGTGTCTGTATTAACCCCCCTCTCTCTCAGTGCAGTGTTAATGTACTGGAGTGTCCAGTCAGTGTGTCTGTATTAACTCCTCTCTCTCAGTGCAGTGTTAATGTACTGGAGTGTCCAGTCAGTGTGTCTGTATTAACTCCTCTCTCTCAGTGCAGTGTTAATGTAGTGGAGTGTCCAGTCAGTGTGTCTGTATGAACCCCTCTGTCTCTCTCCAGTGTCCAGCTCTCCTCTGTCCAGGAGCTCTATAGTGGGCGGTGAGGATGCAGAGGAGGGACAGTGGCCCTGGATGGCTTGCATTACATTCCCAAATTTGTCCAGAGAATTTTGTTTCTGCGGTGGCTCTCTGATCAGTGAGGAATGGGTTGTCTCTGCAGCTCACTGTTTGAATAGGTGAGTTTATCATGTATGTCATTTGCACAGCATCTACAGTATCTCACCAAGACAACTGAACTCTATCAGCACAAACCACAACACACATCCCACCAACTCCTGATCTCTGTATCTGAGCTCTATTAACACAAACCACAGCAGGTGTCCCACCAGGAGTCCTGATCTCTGTATCTGAGCTCTTTTATTATTATTATTATTATTATTATTATACAAATTGACATTTGTTTTAAAAATACAGAAAATGTTTCTTAAACACTTTTTCCTTTTGTTTGCCACTGAGCTGTCATTAGGCTTCCAAACTGTAGCAGTGGTAGTAATGTTAATAACTACAGTAGGAGCGATAACAAAAATCGACACTCAGAATAACTCAGACAATTATTTTGATAGTGTGTTGACACAACCACTGCCCTGTCTTTCAGACGGTCCACACAGAGGAGGGCTATCGTTGTCCTGGGAGGGTACCAGCTAGCCTTCCCGAGCCAGAATCAGGTAATCCGCCCCATGAGGAGAGTCATCGTGCATGAGCTGTACTCTGACGAGGCGCAGGACTTCGACATCGCCCTTGTGCAGCTGGAAACGCCCGTGTCTCTCACCAAATACATCCAGCCCATCACTCTGGCTCTGAGCACTGACATCTTCACCCGACGCTCGGAGTGCTGGGCCACAGGCTGGGGGATGAAGGAGGAGAATGGTAGGTGTTGTGTGTTAGTGGAGCTCAGAGATCAGGACTCCAGGTGGGACACCTGCTGTGGTTTGTGTTAATAGAGCTCAGATACAGAGATCAGGACACCAGGTGGGACACCTGCTGTGGTTTGTGTTAATAGAGCTCAGATACAGAGATCAGGACACCAGGTGGGACACCTGCTGTGGTTTGTGTTAATAGAGCTCAGATACAGAGATCAGGACTCCAGGTGGGACACCTGCTGTGGTTTGTGTTAATAGAGCTCAGATACAGAGATCAGGACTCCAGGTGGGACACCTGCTGTGGTTTGTGTTAATAGAGCTCAGATACAGAGACCAGGACTCCAGGTGGGACACCTGCTGTGGTTTGTGTTACTGGCCCTAAGATACAGAGATCAGGACCCGAGTTCTGATGCCCTCTGATATTTGTGTTATATTACAGCCCAGATAGCTTAATTTGTGTCCCTTTTCTACAACCCTGGGAGGGGCTGGCGTTCTACCCGCTGCCTCTTCCCTATCTGCTGTGCCCCTCTGTACACATTATGGAAAATGTCCCCTGGAGTTTCACAGTAGTGCCTGTCAGAACCACTCTGGCAGGACCTGGCTGGAGTCCAGAGCCTTGAAATAACACCACAGGCACCCTCTAGTGGCCTTTTCAAGTCCTGTTGATAATACAAGCTCATATCAAGAGGACCTCCTGTCAGTAGCGTTATTTTTCAGATGTGAATTCCTCTCCTCAGGGAATCAATAATTCTTATATCACTCTCACTCTACCCCAGTGCCTCTGGAGCCCCCTCAGACTCTACAGGAGGTCAGGCTCCCCATCATAAACAACAGGAGCTGTCAGCGGTATTACAACAACCTCAGGAGCAGCATGATGTGCGCCGGCTTCAGGCAGGGAGGGAAGGACAGCTGCCAGGTGAGTCACACTGGGGCTCTCAGGG